AATCTGCACCACGCGGGATCTATTCAATACCGCGTACCTCGTGTCGGACACCGCCCGCCCGCCTGCACGTGTGCGTGTGTATGTATGTGCGTGTGTGTATTGCACGTATTGGCACGTCCCCTGGTGGCGGTCGGCAGTCTTGAGAGCAGTGGCGAGGTCGGCACATGAGTACCGAATAATAGTGTGCCACACGGGTCGGTGGGTGGGTGGGTGTTGTGGTCATATAGGCTTGCCGCCTTATGTGAAGAGCGCTGGCGTGTCGCAGCGCGCCGATCTTAACAGCGACTCCACACAGGACAGAGGTATAGTAGTAAGAGTGCCGTACAATGCTCGTACCGACTGTGGAACGTCGTACATAGGAAAAAATGTAGACCGACACCTCATCCTGCCGCGAGCCAACAACATTCCCCAAAGTGCCTGTGGCTTTTTCGGTTCTGTCGCAGCGATGATTTTTCAATGCAGTGGATTTTTTTCTCTATCTTCCGGATTGAAAATTTGCTTTCGCTTTTGAGGAAAACGTACTCTGGTAGAGGGGCAGGTAGCCTGGTGGAACGAAAGAACAGTCGACATGGACGAATCTTTGCGTTTTTAGCAGAGCGTTAAGCCATCAGAGAGAATCTTAGTTGAAGACTTTTACATTTAATCGAGTGCATGTAAAGCAGCCGGCACCTCGTTTATTATTTGTCTTGCCGTTTTATGCCGTACACTAGTATTACCGTGTGACACCTTGTTCCCGGGACTGAGATTTTGTGGACGTGCTCTTTTCTGTACACACTCTTCCGTACAGTCCGTTTACGAAGATATGAAAACCATCCTGAGTATTCAGAATAAGCCAAATCTAAAGCCAAAACCTTTCATATACTTCTTTAGGGGGGGAAGAGAGGTTGAGAGACCTCTGCCTCAGTGACCGCCATCACAGCCCCCCAGTGTGCCTACACGACCTTTTGAAGCCAATGTGGGAGAGTAAGAGACACTGTACGGCAACCCATACACAACCACCTACCTACCTACCCACCTACGTACATTACACCTGCATACGTCCTATGTGTACGACATACGACACTCATAAGACACAATCCCACCGCCATTCATTCGTTCTTTTCCTCATTCACAGCCAGCCAGCCACACCAGCCTCCATCCACAGCCATTCACACCCATCGGTCGTTGACGGACCCCAGCACGAAGAAGAAGAATAACCCCGTCGTCGTCAAGTCATGCATCATCTCCAGATAGACTATCACGTTCGTGTTCGATTCGCGTTTGTGTTCCGGACTTTTCCGGACCTCCAGACTCCGAGCTCCTGGGGCTAGTTACGTGTGGGGTTATAAATAAACACGCAAACATCCCCCATTGCCTGCCTTCCCTATCTCTCACAACAGCCCAATTGCCTCCCGCAATCACCGCCCCCGCGGGAATTCGTATTTTCCTGTAGCCGCCAACCTGCCAGTCTGCTATTCTGCTATATACTGCTATACCCCCCACCAACCCCCCAACCCCCCCTACGCCGCTATATCCATCCTGTGGGCCATCTCTCTGAGGGTGCTGCCGAGCTCCCCAGCGGCCGCCATCTCAGTGACGATGTCGCAACCGCCAACCAACTCGCCTCGTACGTACAACTGCACAACGAGAGAGGTTGCGGTTCCGATCATATGGTGAGGGGAGTTCTGTGACATACATACATACATACATGCAGACATGACCAGCAATGGTGGTGGCGGAAAATCTGGGGGGTTCGAGAAGGGGCGTTGGGGGGAAGGGAGGAGGGTACGGCAGGGGAGGAGGGAGGGCGCGGGAGAGTTCCACCACCAGGCGGCCAGGGAGGGGGGCCCGTTGGGGATGTGAGTGAGGTGTTAGTACGAATGTCCGGGAGTTATCAACGGTGGTGGTTATGGCGGGGAAACGGGTGGGTACGGCATGGGAAGGATTCATATCGTACGACAGGGCCGTTGGTTGGACGTATGTTCTTTCAGTGAGGGGATGAAGGTGAAGCGGTGGAGGGGGAAGCCGTAAACATACACACACATACACGAACATGCCAAAACATAATCCGGGGGGAAGGGGGGACGGGGGGATATATGCGAAGTAACAGACAGCCGGCGCCAAATAACGTCCAATAACATCTTAGATAGCCAAAGACTCGGTGCCGTACCGAACACCGTTCGCTCCATGACAAATGTCGGTTATCTGGGTGAAATGTCGTACCTGCGGGTACGTCGGCCAGTTGCTGTACTCCTTGAGGCCCTGCCGTATCGCCTCGTCCTGCAATATGTCGAAGCTACCAAACTCCACACCTTCAGCCTGGTGTGGTTACAGTTAGATTAGTTAGGATTCAGTTGTTATTTTGGGGCAATTGGATCAGGTAAAGCTACAGGTGACTATCATCGCTTCATCCTCGATTACGACTATTACTACTA